ATCTCAAAATTCCTGGAATTTCATGGTGGGCTGTGGTGGCTCACGCTTGTTATCCCAGGCACGTTGGGAGGCCAAGGGGTGGATCACCTGGAGGTCGAGTTGGACCCCCAGCCAGCCTGGCCATTATGCAAACCCATCCACTAAACGTACAAAAGTTAGCTGGATGTGTGACGTGTGCCGAAAGGGCTCGCCAGGCCCAGAGCCGGGCCCAGGAGGCTCTGGACAAGGCCAAGGAGAAGGACAAGAAGGTGGGTGCCCCCTCTCCCACACCTGGTCAGGGAGGCATTCACTCAGCAAAGGTTGGGGACAGTCTGTGAAGGTCCCCGCTGCAAGGGCCTTGGAAAATCAACCCATTTTCCAGAAGGGAAACTGAGGCTCAGAAACAGAAGGGGACCTGGTTACAGCCTCTGATAAGTCAGACACACAGAGGCTACTGTTCCAGCTACTAATTATAACCACAGTTACTTTTATTTTATTTTATTATACCATATTGTGATTTTTGATTTTGAGATGGTAATCTCGCGTCTGTCACCCAGGTTGGAGTGGATGGTGGCACATCTCGGTCACTGCCGAGCTGCCGCCGCACTGAGTTCACGCCATTCTCCTGCCCGCCTCGAGAGTAGCTGTACAGGCGTCTGCCCCCACCTGGCTAATTTTTTATATTTTGTAGAGTTGGGGTTTCACTGGTTAGCCAGGTTCGTTCTAGAGTATGTGCTTATTTCCTGACCTCCATGCATCTGCCACCTCGGCGCCTTCCCAACGTGCTAGGATTCAGGCAGAGCCACCGCACCCCGCCTTTATGTTTATTTTATTTTAGTTTATTATTATATTTTTTTTGAGACAGTAGTCTCGCCTCGTGTCACCCAGGCGTGCTGTGCAGGTGGCCCATGAATTCATGCTCCTGCAGCATACCGCTCCCGGGTTTACCCATTCTCCTGCTCAGCCTCCGAGTATTGGGACTAACTAGGCGTCCACCCACCGTTCGCCAGGGCTAGTTTTTTGTATTTTTTAGTAGAGACGGGGTTTCACCGTGTTAGCCAGGATGGTCTCGATCTCCTGACCTCGTGATCCACCTGTCTCGGCCTCCCAAAGTGCTGGGATTACAGGCTTGAGCCACCGCGCCCGGCCCTTATTTTATTTTTTAATTTGAGATAGAGTCTCACTCTGTCGCCCAGACTGGAGTGCAGTGGCATGATCTCAGCTCACTGCAACCTCTGGGTTCAAGAAATTCTCCTGCCTTAGCCTCTTGAGCAGCTGGGATTACAGGCACATGCCACCATGCCCAGCTAATTTTTTATATTTTCAGTAGAGATGGGGTTTCGTCATGTTGGCCAGGCTGGCCTCGAACTTCTTAGCTCAAGTGATCTGCCTGCCTCAGCCCCACAAAGGGCTGGGGTTACAGGCGTGAGCCACCGCATCTGTCCCCACAGTTACATTTATTTTTTATATATTTATTTACTTTTGAGACGGAGTCTCGCTCTGTTGGCCAGGCTGGAGTGCAGTGGTGTGATTTCGGCTCACTGCAAGCTCCACCTCCTAGGTTCACACCATTCTCCAGCCTCAGCCTCCCGAGTAACTGGGATTACAGGCACCCGCCACCACGCCTGGGTAATTTTTTGTAGTTTTAGTACAGACGGGGTTTCACCATGTTAGCCAGGATGGTCTTGATCTCCTGACCTCGTGATCCACCCACCTCAGCCTCCCAAAGTGCTGGAATTACAGGTGTGAGCCACCGCGCCCGGCCCAGTTACATTTATTGAGTGCTTTCTGCATACCAGACCTTATGGACTTGATGCATTTAATCATATCCAGTTCTCACAGGATAGGTGCTTTTATTATCCCCATTTGAGGAAACATAAGCACAGAGGGGTGAAGTCACTTACCCAGGGTCACACAGCCATGCAGTCTTTCAGCTGGGTTTGTACCCACGCTCCCACATTCCCACGTTTGTTCCTAAACAATGATGATAACAGCAGCCTCCAGTTGTTAGATCGGGAATTTTTCACACATTACCTTTGTTTTTTTGTTTGTTTGTTTGTTTTTTGAGAGAGAGTCTCGCTCTGTCACCCAGGCTGGAGTGCAGTGGTGCGATCTCGGCTCACTGCAAGCTCCACCTCCCAGGTTCACGCTATTGTCTTGCCTCAGCCTCCCCAGTAGCTGGGACTACAGGTGCCTGCCACCACGCCCAGCTAATTTTTTATGTGTTTTTAGTAGAGACGGGGTTTCACCATGTTAGCCAGGATGGTCTCGATCTCCTGACCTCGTGATCCACCCGCCTTGGCCTCCCAGAGCGCTGGATTACAGGTGTGAGCCACTGCGCCCGGCCTTACACGTTACCATTTTTAATCTTCCTGCAACTCTAAAAGCCAGAAAGCCTTTTTTTTTTTTTTTTTTTTTTTTTGGGACAGGGTCTCACTTTGTCACCCAGGCTGGAATGCAGTGGCACAATCTCAGCTCATTGGACCCTTGACCTCCTGGGTTCAAGCGATCCTCCTGCCTCAGCCTCCTGAGTAGCCGGGACTACAGGTGTGTGCCACCACACCTGGTGTTAGCCAGGATGGTCTCGATCTCCTGACCTCGTGATCCGCCCGTCTCGGCCTCCCAAAGTGCTGGGATTACAGGCTTGAGCCACCGCGCCCGGCCAATTGTTTCTTTTTTTGAGAGAAAGTTTCACTCTGTCGCTCAAGCTGAAGTACAGTGGTGCAATCTCGGCTCACTGCAACCTCGCCTCCTGGGTTCAAGAGGTTGCTGGGACTACAGGTGCCTGCCACCACGCCCAGCTAATTTTTTATGTGTTTTTAGTAGAGACGGGGTTTCACCGTGTTAGCCAGGATGGTCTCGATCTCCTGACCTCGTGATCCACCCGTCTCGGCCTCCCAAAGTGCTGGGATTACAGGCTTGAGCCACCGCGCCCGGCCAATTGTTTCTTTTTTTGAGAGAAAGTTTCACTCTGTCGCTCAAGCTGAAGTACAGTGGTGCAATCTCGGCTCACTGCAACCTCGCCTCCTGGGTTCAAGAGATTCTCCTGCCTCAGCCTCCTGAGTAGCTGGGATTACAGGCATGCACCACCACACCCAGCTAATTTTTGTATTTTTAGTAGAGACAGGGTTTCACCATGTTGGCCAGGCTGGTCTTGAACTCCCGACCTCAGGTGATTCAACCTCCCAAAGTGCTGGGATTACAGGCGTGAGCCACCATGCCTAGCCTGTTTTGTTTTTGTTTTTGTTTTTTTTGGTAAGAGACAGGGTTTCAAACGCCATATTGCCCAGGTTGGTCTCAAACTCTTCAGCTCATGTGATCTGTCTGCCTCAGCCTCGCAAAGTGGTAGGATGACAGACGTGAGCCACTGCACCTGGTTTCAGAAAGTATTTTTGTCCCCATTTTCCAGATGAGCAAACTGAATCTTTAAGAGATGAAGTTAGTGGCTCAAAATCACGCAACATGTCACTGGACAGGAGATGAGACACCCAGAGTCCCAGGCGCTTCAGCATACAGAATGACCCAGCCCCGACTCACTGTGTGACCTTAGACCAGACACTTCACCTCTCTGAGCTTCAGTTTCCGCCTCTAAATAGAGGGCAAAATTGCAGTTAGGATGATGGTTTATCTATAGCCTGGTTTCTTCCCCTGCGCACTGTGGACGTCGAGGCAGGATCGTTTCCTGGGCTGGGGCTGTCCTGGGCACTGGGGGGGACTGAGCAGCATCCCTGACCTCCACCCACTCCATGCCAAAAGCTCCTCCAGGTCGTGTTGTCCTCACACAACACCCAGTGTCCCCTTGGGGGGCAGAATTGCCTCAAATTGAAAACCCCTGATGTATAGTAATAATAAGGCCTTGCATTTATTGAGTGCCTACTGTTGACCAGGCACAGTTTAAACATACTCTCTGTGGAGGATCACAGCTACTACTAAGTTAAGAACTTGGCCGGGCACGGTGGCTCACGCCTGTAATCCCAGCACTTTGGGAGGCCGAGGCAAGTGGATCACCTGAGGTCAGGAGTTCGAGACCAACCTGGCCAACATGGCGAAAACCCGTCTCTACTAAAAATATAACCATTAGCCAGACGTGGTAATGGGCACCTGTAGTCCCAGCTACTCAGGAGGCTGAGGCAGAAGAATTGCTTGAACCTGGGAGGCGGAGGTTGCAGTGAGCGGAGATCACACCACCGCACTGCACTGCAGCCTGGGTGACAGAGCGAGACTCTATCTCAAAAAAAAAAAAAAAAGACAAAAACAAAAAAATCGTGAAAACCAATTTTAGTTTGTGGGTTGTATAAAAACAGGCTGTGCTGGTAACCATAAGCATCTAAAATAGAAATAAATAAATAAATAAATAAAATTAAAACAGGCTGTTGGCCAGACGTGGCACTCAGGCCAGAGTTTGCCTGGGACGGGACCTTCCCTCGAAGGCCTTTATCCCTGGCCTTTTCCTGCGGCTGCAGAGAGGTCCTCAGCCCCCAGCCCTGGGCCCAGGGTGATGGCTGACAGCACCCACACCCCCAGATCACAGAACTCTCCAAAGAAGTCTTCAGTCTTAAGGAGGCCTTGAAGGAGCAGCCGGCCGCCCTGGCCACCCCCGAGGTGGAGGCCCTCCGTGACCAGGTGAAGGATTTACAGCAGCAGCTGCAGGTAAGGGCCGGGCCGGGCGGGGGCCGCGGGACCATCAGGATGGAGGAGTCCAAATATTTACCAATCAGCACAGCGTGGGTAGGGATCCCAGGAGAGGGGCTGGGGTGGGTCGGTGGCGTCCACATCACCTGCACGGTGCGGCCAGGAAATATTTCCTTTATTTCTTTTGAGACAGGGTCTCACTCCATCACCCAGGTGGAGTGCAGTGGCACAGTCTCGGCTCCCTGCAGCCTCAGCCTTCCGGGTTTAAGCAATTCTCGTGCCTTAGCGTCCTGTGTAGCTGGAACTACAGACACGCACCACCACACACCCAGCTAATTTTTGTATTTTATTAGAGACGGAGTTTCCCCATGTTGGCCAGGCTGGTCTCAAACTCCTGGGCTCACATGGACCTCCCAAAATGCTGGGATTGCAGACGTGAGCCACTACTCCTGGTACCCACTCCCACATTTTTTTTTGGACACAGGATCTTGCTCTATCAGGCCTTGGAGTGCAGTAGCGCAATCATAGCTCACTGGGCAGCCTCAAACTCCTGGCCTCCAGCAGTTCTCCACCTCAGTCTCCCAAAGTGCCTGGTCATATTTCCATATATCTATATCTATATCTATATCTATATCTATGTCAAAAGTCAAAAATATATATAGATATAGATAGATAGAGAGAGAGAGAGAGAGAGATAGATTTTTTGAGACAGTCTCACTCTGTCACCCCGGCTGGAGCGCAGTGACATGATCTTGGCTCACTGCAACCTCTGCCTCCCAGCTCCCAAGTTCAAGTGATTCTCCTGCCTCAGCCTCCTGACTAGCTGGGACTATAGGTGTGAGCCACCTTGCCTGGGATTTTGTTTTGTTTTGTTTTGAGATGGAGTCTCGCTCCGTTGCCCAGGCTGGAGTGCAGTGGCACAATCTCAGCTCGCTGCAGCCTCCGCCTCCCGGGTTCAAGCGATTCTCCTGCCTCAGCCTCCCGGGTAGCTGGGACTACAGGCACCCACCACCATACCCACCTAATTTTTTGTACTTTTAGTAAAGACGGGGTTTCACCGTGTTAGCCAGGATGGTCTCGATCTCTTGACCTCGTGATCCGTCCGCCTCGGCCTCCCAAAGTGCTGGGATTACAGGCAGGAGCCACCGCGCCCAGCCAATTTTTGTATTTTTAGTAGAGACAGGATTTCACCATGTTGGTCCAGGCTGGTCTTGAACTCCTGACCTCAGGTGAGCCGCCAGCCTCAGCCTCCCAAAGTGCTGGGATTACAAATGTGTGCCACTGTGTCCGGCCATCTTTTCATATTTTAGCAGTCGTCCATCAAAATACAGGCTTGGGGTGCAAAGGGCACTTTTTGGTGTGTTTTGCTGTGGGGGGAGGTGGTCCTGTTCTTCTGAGCACCCCTCCCTCATACCTACAGGAAGCTGCCAGGGACCACTCCAGCGTGGTGGCTTTGTACAGAAGCCACCTCCTCTATGCCATTCAGGTGAGTGGCCAGCTCCCGGGTGCCCGGTGGCTTTGGGCAGGCCACGATTGCTCTCTGGGTCTCAGTTTCCCCTTCTGTACAGTGGGAGGCTGGTCCTGGAGAGAGGTTCGTGGCAGGTGGGAGCCCACCTGTGTGCATTTCCCTCCTGGCTGGCTTGGTCTTTGGGAGTGGTGGAGGGGCCTGGGGCAGCCGTCGGGGGTACACTCAGGGTCCCCCTCTACTCCCCCCACCCTAGGGCCAGATGGATGAAGATGTGCAGCAGATTCTCAGCCAGATTCTACAGATGCAGAGACTCCAGGCTCAGGGCCGCTGAGAAAGGCCAGGCCCAGTGGCTACACTGACCACACCCACGCAGGGGCCTCACGCCCCTGCAGGCCCCTTGCAGACCGGCTTCACTTGGCCCCATCCGGACCCATGCACTTGGAGACCAGCCTGGGTCCCTGCCCGACCGTCCTCAGCTGGCTCCATCGCCCCACCTGGTCTCTGCAAGCAGGCACTGGTCAGTCTGGACCCGGGGCGTGACTGCCCCTCCCCCACCACCGGAGAATCTGAGAGTCCCTGTGTCCTCCACATCCAGACGCCAGCCCAGGAATAAAGGCATTCTGTGCACAGGACCAATGCGTGCCGTCTGGTTGCTGGGCTTCCCCTGTGGGGAGGGAAGGGGGTGGCCCAGAAAAGGAAGCACTCACACCCCTCCCCACCTGCCCCACAGCACAACAAATCAACCATCAGGATAAACCCCAACTTTTTTCTTCCTTTTCTTTTTTTGAGACAGAGTCTGGCTCTGTCGCCCAGGCTAGAGCGCAGTGGCGTGATCTCGGCTCACTGCCAGCTCCGCCTCCTGGGTTCACACCATTCTCCTGCCTCAGCTTCCCAAGTAGCTGGGACTACAGGCGCCCGCCACCTCGCCCAGCTAAGTTTTGTATTTTTAGTAGAGATGGGGTTTCACTGTGTTAGCCAGGATGGTTTCGATCTCCTGACCTCATGATCCGCCCGCCTCGGCCTCCCAAAGTGCTGGGATTACAGGCATGAGCCACTGCACCTGTTTCCTTTTTTTTTTTTTTATGTGGAGTCTCCCTCTGTCACCCAGTCTGGAGTGCAGTGGAGCGATCTCAACTCACTGTAACCTCTGTCTCCCGGGTTCTCGTGATTCTCCTGCCTCAGCCTCCCAAGTAGCTGGGATTACAGGCGCCTGCCACCACGCCCAGCTAATTTTTGCATTTTTTCTTTTTTTTTTGAGACGGAGTTTCATTCTTGTCCCCAGGCTGGAGTGCAGTGGCGTGATCTCGGCTCACTGCAACCTCTGCCTCCTGGGTTCAGGTGATTCTCTTGCCTCAGTCTCCCCAGTAGCTGGAATTACAAGGCACACACCATTACGCCTGGCTCGTTTTTGTATTTTTAGTAGAGACGGGGCTTCACCACGTTGGCCAGGCTGGTCTCGAACTCCTGACTTCAGGTGATCCACCTGCCTCGGCCTCCCAATGTGCTGGGATGACAGGTATGAGCCACTGTGCCCGGCCTTTGGATAAACTCCATCTTAATGCAATATTTCAAAAAGGCAAAATGGGAGCAAAAAAAGTGCATGATGAACTAAGTATGGAAATGTCAAAGAAAGGCAGGATTGGCTGGGTGCAGTGGCTCATGCCTGTAATCCCAGCACTTTGGGAGACCAAGGTGGGAGGATTGTTTGAGCCCAGGAGTTGAAGACCAGCCTGGGCAACATGGGGAAACTCCATCCCTATCAAAAATACAAGAATTAGCTGGGAATGATGCTGTGCACCTGTGGTCCCAGCTACTTAGGAGGCTGAGGAGGAAGGATTGCTTGAGCCCAGCAGTTAAGAGGCTGCAGTGAGCCATGATCGCACTACTGCACCCCAGCCTGGGTGACAGGGCAGGACCCTGCCTCTAAAAACGGGAAAAAAGAAAAAAAAAAAGACACTCTCCTAAATCCTAAGCCTGGCCATGGTGGGAGCCCCTCCCCCCAGCCTCTCCCTGCCCCTTGGCAAATCCCTCGAAATCCCCAGGAGTTTCTTGGCATTTTTCAGCAAACAGAGGGGAGGTGGGAGTGGGAGTGGGGATCCCCGAGCCTGTCCAGCCTACCCCTGGGGGTTTCCTTTTTTCTGGGCATCCTGATGACTGGGACATCTGTGGTGGCAGCTGCTTCCCCAGGCCTGCGCTCCTGTGTCTCTCTCTCTTCTCCATGTCTCTTTTTTTTTCTTTTTTGAGACGGAGTTTCGTTCTTGTCGCCCAGGCTGGAGTGCAATGGCGCGATCTGGGCTCACTGCAACCTCCATCTCCCGGGTTCAAGCGATTCTCCTGCCTCAGCCTCCAGAATAGCTGGGATTACAGGCGCCCGCTACCACGCCCATCTGATTTTAATATTTTTAGTAGAGACGGGGTTTCACATGTTGGTCAGGCTGGTCTCGAACTCCTGACCTCAGGTGATCCACCCATCTTGGCCTCCCAAAGTGCTGGGATTACAGGCCTGAGCCACTGTGCCCAGCCTCTATGTCTCTGTCTCTATCTCTTGGTCTCCATCTCTGTCTGTCTCTGACTCTTCCCATCTCTGTCTCTCTGTCTTCCTCTCTTATCTCTGTCTCTCATCTCTCTGTCTTCCTCGCTTATCTCTGTCCTTCTGTCTCTCTTCCTCTGTCTGCTCTCTGTGTGTCTCTTTCTGTTTCCATCATCTCCCTGTCTCTCTCTCTCTCTGTGTCCTCCTCTCATCTCTGTCTCTCTGCCTCTCTCATCTCTGTATCTCTGTCTCTGTCATTCCCCTGTCTCTCTCTGTGTCTGTCATCTCCCCGTCTCTCTGTGTGTGTCCTCCTCCGCTCATCTATATCTCTCTGCCTCTCTCATCTGTGTCTCTCTCTGTGTCTCTGTCTTTGGCATCCCCTGTCTCTCTGTCTCTGTCATCTCCCTCTCTTTCTATCCCTCTACCTCTGTGTCCTCCTTTCGTCTCTCTCTGTGTCTGTCTCTGTCATCTCCCCGTCCCTCTATCTCAGTGTCCTCCTCCTGTCTTCTCTGTCTCTCTCCCTCTCTCTCCAGTGTCTGCCTCTGTCTCCCTCCACGTCCCCGAGCCCCTGCCTGCCTGCCTGGGGTTTCCCCGCCTGCAGGGCAGCGGAAGGAAGGCCAGCAGGACACGCTGTACTGGGAAAAACCAGCAGGTCTCCACTTCTCCCTTTCACAGCCTCCTCCCCCTGCCCCCACCCTCGGGGCCTTCCGCGCAGGGGTGGCCTGCACTCCCCAGGGGGCTGGGGCTCCTCCGCACCCTAATTCATCTCCCTAGGAGCCCGGCCAGTGAGTCAGACCTGAAGAAAGTCGAAGGGGGGCCTTGACCCTGGACTGGGCTTTCCCCTGGGCAGGTCCCAAGTCCTCACCACCTCCCCTCTCAAGTCTCCCATGACGTTCCCACCCCCGCTCCTGAGAGCAGAGCTGGCCGCAGCCATGACCTCGCAGCTTCTCCTGGCCCTTGTCCTCTGGGCTGGCTGCCTGCCCTGCAGTGGAAGGAAAGGTATGTGGGGTCCCTGGGGGGCCTGGGGGACCCAGGCAGACGGACATGACGCGCGGACTGGCCTCGGATCATGTCTGAGGTGGGAACTCACAGGCCTCCCGTGTGCCCACTGGTGGGATGGGGTTACCCTCCCATTGTACAGATGGAGGAACTGAGGCACAGAGAGGCAGTGCCAAGGTGACAGAGGTGGAAGGATGTCACTTTGTGGGTGATAGGGACTGGCAGTCACAGCTTAGAGGTATCCATAGAGCTGCACAGACATAAGTATGAATTCAAGTCATAGTCATTCATTTTGTTTCTTTTGTTTGTTTGTTTTATTTTTGTTTTTTTTGAGACGGAGTCTCGCTCTGTAGCCCAGGCTGGAGTGCAGTGGCCGGATCTCAGCTCACCTGGCCAAGCTCCGCCTCCCGGTCAGTCCCGCCATTACTCGGCCTCCAGCCTCCCGAGGTAGCCTGGGAACTACAGCGCCCGCCACCTAAGCCGCGGCTAGTTCTTGTATCTCTTAGTAAGAGACGGGGTTCACCGGTAGCCAGGATGCGTCTCGATCCCTGACCTCCGTGATCCGCCCCATTCCCGGACCTCCCAAAGTGCTGGATTACAGGCTGAGCACCCGCACCCGGCTCCTTTGTTCCTTTTTGGTTTCTGTTTTTTGAGACGGAGTCCTCTGTCGCCCAGGCTGGAATACAGCAGCACCATCTCGGCCAACTGCAACTCCACCTCCTGGGCTCAGTGAGATTCGCTCCCCAGTCTCCAAAGTACTGGACTACAGGGCCGCCGCCGACCCCGGCTAATAGTTTTGCATTTTAAGTAAGAAGAATGAGGTTTCACCGTGTTACCCAGGATGGTCCTCAGATCTCCTGACCTCGTGATCCCACCTGCTTTGCCCTCCCAAAGCGCCTGGAATAACGCGTGAGCCCACATGCGGCCCGACCAGATGTTCGTTTTGAGATGAGCCCTGTCCCCAGGCTGGATAGCAGGCAACCAGCATCGCTCCACCTGCAACCATCCACCTCCTGGCAAGACGATCCCATTCATCAAGTCGCCTGAGTAGCTGGGACTACGATGCGGGGCCCGGCCACCACACCAGCTACTTTTGTAATTTGTTTAGAAGAGGGCTTACCATGTGGTCCAGGCTGTCTCAACTCCCGACCTAGGTTGACATCCACCCTCCTCGGGGCCTCCCAAACCTGTCCTGGGATTACAGATTGTTACCAGCCACCCGCTCCCGGCCGACATTCATTTGCACTAGAGAAACATTTCCATGTCCTTGAAGACAAAATGTTACAACAGGGCGGTGGCTCATGCAATAATTCCAGCACTTGGGAGGCAAGGCATGAGGAGCACGTGAGGCCAGGAATTTGAGACCAGCTTGCGCAACATAGCTGAGACCCCTGCCCACCATTCTGTACAAAAAAATAAAAAAATTAGCCTAGCTGTGGTGGCACGTGCCTGAGTCCCAGCTACCTTGGGAGGCTGAGTGGGAGGATCGCTTGAGCCCAGGAATTGAAGGCTGCAGTGAGCTATGATTGTGCCAGCTGCACTCCAGCTTGGGTGACAGAGTGGGATACCTTGTCTCAAAATAATATAAAATAAAATAATTATA